TATTATTCATATAACTATTATTATTATTATTATATATAAGTATGATTAAAAGGCATGGAGAAGCTACAATGTTTTTCCCCTCCGAATAAAAAAACTAATGAAAAAAAATTTGAATTAACTAGATTAACTCTTCAAATCATGTTAATCCGTCAAACCTTAGATTCCCATCATGAAAGTTTGATAACTAAATATAAAAAAATTTGATGGGTTAACCCATAATTAACTAGGTTAACTTGTCAAGTTTGGGAAACGTGTCATGAAAGTCTGATATTAAATAGAAAGAGATTTAATATTAACAAACTAAACTAAATGTAAAAAATTAATTAAAAAAATAAAGCAAAAAAAAAAATTCAGGTTAATTCGTCAAATCAGGTTAACCTACTAAACTCGGAATTCATTAACAAACTAAATTAAACAAAAAAATTTATTAAAAGAAAAAAAACAAACAAAAAAGCAAAAAACAAAAACCCATAAAGGCATAAAAACCAAAAACAAAATAGGAAAAAACATATATATATATATATATATATATATATATGATTAAATACACTGCTTTCCCCTAAAGAAAAAAACTAATGAAGAAAAAACAAATTCTAAATTAACTGAGTTAACTTTTCAAACTAAGTTAACCCATCAAACCTTAAATTCGCGTCATGAACGTTTGATAACTAAATAGAAAAAAAAATTAACGGGTTAACCCATAATTAATTGAGTTAACCTGTCAAGCTTGGAAAACGTGTCATAAAAGTTTGATAATTAAATAGAAAGAAATTTAACATTGACAAACTAAAAGCAAAAAAATAAAATTCCAGGTTAACTCGTCAAATCAGGTTAACATGACAAACTAAATTAAAAAAAAAATTTATTAAAAAAATAAATAAAAAGGCAAAAAGAAAAAAACCATAAAGGAGAAAAAAACAAAAAATTGAAAATGAAAAAAAATATTATAGTTTAATTATAATATAATATAATAATATAATTATCATTATAATAATAATAATAATAATAAAAATAATGAAGCTATAGTGGTTTCCTCACCCCTTTTAGAATTCTTTAATAAACAGATTTAACACAATAAGATAATGTCTCTTAAAATTATATAATTTTACAAGTTAATTTATAATTTTAATAATTTTTTAAATAAAAATTAATTTAAAATAAAAATAGTAATTTTGTAAAACACAACCTTAATACATGTTTTTTATGAAAAACATATTAAAAAAATAATACAAACACATGGAGAAAATATTATTTTAAACTAAATTTTTTTATGAAAAGTGGTTTTCACTTGAAAAGTGATTTACTTTTCAATGTTTGGTAGTGTTATCGAAAATGAACTAAAAAATAATTTATTTATAAATTATTATTTTATCAAATTTATTTAACATATTAAAAATATTAAATATAAATATTTAATCACTTACAATAAAAGAATAAAATCTAAAAAGTATAATGATAATTTTTTTATTGTATCTTATATTCATGTATAGCTTATTTTATAAAATATAACTATATATGTCATATAATATTATAAAGATATAATCTTGTGAAATGTTTCATAAATAAAACCTATTAAGTTTTTTTTCAGTTTTAAAAGCTTAAAATATGTTTTTTTTCAATATGAAGAAAGCCAAATTAGTTTGTGATATTAAGGAAGAGTTAGATATATGAGTTTTTTTGGTATGAAGATTTTTTTAAAAGATAAATAAATACAAAAATATTTTGATAGATTTTTTGGATAATTTTTTTTTTTTTATGAGTATAAGCAATTATCTCTGTAAAATCCCTTTAATATATATCAAATAAGCATTAAGAAATAAATATAAATATCTTACATCAAATATAGTCATGCATAAATATTACGTTTTAATGTAATACTAAAAAATATTAGTTAAAATTAACAAACATAAACATAATAGACCGAATTAAATAAGTAAACATACTTGTCAAATAACAAACATCTTAGCAATCAAGCTCGTACTTGTGTTGGTTCATAAAATTCTGAACCCAAATTTTTCTCAAATTAACATTTTTTACCATAAATGCTTTTGCCAACATTTAATGCTGGACCAAGTGATTAAATGCATCCCCAAAAGTGATCTCATCAAAGCCTTCAATTTTCATCACTTCTGTATATAGCTCATTAACATAAAGTTGATTTTTGCTGAGACTTTGGATTGCATATGCTACATCTCCAATCTTTTTAAACAACTTTTCAACATTATCATCTTTATACATGTGATTTCTCTTCCTGTGTTGCCTCTTTT